CCCCCCCCTCATTCCAACGTAACGCTGTCCTGCAAAATAACAACAACAAAAAAACAACCAACAGTTCTATCCCTGCCTATTGCCAAAGTGCAAATAAAGTGAGGGGAAAGGGCTTAACGATACGTTTTGTCAGCAATAACAACAACAACGCCGCATCATCAGTTTAAAAAACAACAGCAACAGCTACAGAAGCAGAAGCAGGAAAAAATACTTTTACCAAAAATATATTGTCTTACATGAAGAACCAGAAATCGAGCCTATGATTGTACAATTGCCAACCTTAGACTTAGACTCCAGACAGAATGCAAGTGCAAGAATGAAACTGCGATATAGTGTGAGTTTCTTTAACTACCTTAACCTAACGATCTTATACTTCTCTCTCCTCAGTATGTCTGTCGTGCATCGGGGAATTTCAGGAAATGCAAAGACAGCTGCAAAATCTCACTCAGAAAATTGAAAATCTGGAGGAAGAAAAGGTCAGTATAGAAGTGAATGAGCTTGGAATAATGTGGTCATTTGAATGGTCTATGGGTTTTTTTAATGTTATATTCCACATGTTCGTTCCACGAGCATGTTCGTTATTTCTTGGGGGTAGATTTTACTTTGCTAGTGGAAGGGTCATATTGAGGGGCCCCCTCATGACGTGTTCATAGTTCACACTGTGCTCACAAACTTGGCCTGCGTGTTCTGGTGAAGGCTTTTATTTCTCGTGGAAATCCTTGATGAATGTATGTTGGTGCTACGTGGTGGGGAGATTGGATGTGTCTTCCTCTAACCACACCCCCACCCCCCACCTTCTTCTTGTGGGGCAATGTTGTATGTCCAGCTATTAATGACCCATACTTCTTTTGCAGTCTCATCCCACTATTTTTTATTTTCTTCTTTTTTTTTCTTTAAAGGAAAAGGGGTGGGGTGGGGGGGATGATATGAGAATAACGAGAAAAGGTCAGTATAGAAGTGAATGAGCTTGGAATAATGTGGTCATTTGAATGGTCTAGGGTTTTTTTTAATGTTATATTCCACGTGATAAATTGGTTCCTTCTGGTAGACGTAATCGTCGTTATCATTATCAGCATCATAATATCATCATCATCATCATCATCACCATCATCATCACCATCATCATCATCATCATCATC